CTCATCAGGGCTATAACTGAATATTACATTCAAGGTGATTTAAATAATATTTAGACTTTAATATTTTGCTTGTATTCAAAAGAATTAATAAGTTATAAATTCCAAGTTTTATTTAATAACGTTCGGCCATAATCTAGCATTTAACCACAGTTTATTTTGTTGTTAAAATTAGCTAGGAAAAAAGTATGCAAACTTTTTATGGAAGAGCCTGGTTAATGACTACACACCGTTTTTTCAGTTTCGACTTCCTTTGTAAATTAGATTTTCCCATGTAGAAAATTGTAGAAATTTGTAATTACCTTACATAGTTGTTAAAAAAAAGTAAGTTTCATTTATTTATTTTAAAATAACAAATCGTGGAAAGACATAAAAAAACAAGAAAGAACTATTTGACTCCATTCCACACCATTACATACTTCACAGATAAATAAAATTTAAATGTTTGTTACTCAGTTCGCCCTTTGATTTACCTTAGGAAGGATCCTAAACAAAAGAATTAATGTAAATCTACAATGTACAACATAAAATTTTATATTCGGGGTCAATTTTAATGACACCAGTATAGTCTGAACATGAAGATAATAGCGATTCTTTAAAATCCCACGGCGGTCTTTAGCATAAACGAGGACTTTGTTTAAGATATATCGAAATTCCTGATCATAAATTACATTAATTAATAGGGAGCATAAAACAAGGAAATTTTCAATGAAAAATTCCACGTTTGCCAATAATAATCATATCGCGGTGAACAATGTTTAAGCTTAACGTGCGAGGTGAAAAAATTCTGCGACAAACCAAGCCAATTTCTTGCAAAATTATTGTAATATTAAGGTATCTTCGGTTTAAAAAAAATAAAAGTTGGATACACGTCCTTGGTAAGGAAGTAAGGTTGAAGGTGGCTGTAAATGGTTTCAAGTATAACCACGAGTACTAATATATTTTTCAGGAAAGGTGAAGTGTTAAAAGAGGTTAGTCGCCATATACGCATGGTGAAGGTAAAAGGAGACTAAAGTGTGGTCCCGTGTGAACTTAATTCACAGCAATCTGCTGACGGGGTAAAACACTTGCCAATATTTTTTAAAAGCAATTGTGATACGATGTTTCACTAAAAAATTCGCTTGTGATAAAAAATAAGTTTTTGCAAAATCCTGATACGAGTTACAATGAACATAGTAGTATGATAATAATGGTAGTATTATGATAGTAAACAGAAAGATTTTTGAGTTGGTGCCATATGAAAAAATATTGCTGTGCGTTTTTGAATAACAAAAGGGTTTTTCATTTCGATTTTGTTCTGGATAGCAACTTTGAAATCTATTTTTTATTACATTTATTTGATATTTACAACTACAAATATTGTATTAGGTAAATATGTTCATATCAGTTGAATTTGTCATTTGAGTCTCTTGTAGGAGCAGTTGCCCAGTGGCAACACCCTTTACACTTAAATTTTTTAAATCTTCTCTCAGTGAGAAAATCTCGGGGCCACATTCGCTTCGATCGTTTTGAAGGATTTTCGGGTAGGGTTGGAAGTGATAAATGTCGTAAATGGTTTATGTGTGTGTTCATAGATTGATGGAATTTTTTTAGCGGGTTTTGATGAGTTCATATACAAACGGAAAGTGTAGGTCGTTAAGAATAGTGTAATTTGAAACATAAAAATGAGCATTTATGATTTGACAGAATTTTAGATTTGTTTGATTGGAAACGTAGGGAATTGGAATCCTTCGGTTAGCCATACTTCACAACCTTACGCCCAGAGATGTCTAATCGTTGTGTTGTAAATTGGAAGTTTGTTTTCAATGTCTAATTTTGATTGTGAGTAAATTTATAACTTTTTTATAATTTATAACGTCGGTTTGCTTGCTGTCTTTTCAGACTTCTGTGGGAATTCCAAGTAAGTCGTTTATCCATGAAAAGTGCAAGATAACGCACTAGGTCAGTGATTAGTCAATGGGTTTCCATTTATACTTATTGCAGGACAGATGTTTTTAAGTAAGGTAAAATTTATCTGTACGCTTTTCGTTATCTTCATTCTCCACTTTGTGAGCGATACTGTTCATTCATTGTAAGTGTTAAGTTTGTATTGTAAGGATCGCTATATCTTCAGTTGAAATGTTAGTATGTTTAGAAATATCTGCAATGTTTATTGAAAATAGAAATGAGCCAAGCCTGCTTCCCTCAGGAACATCCGCCTTAATGCGTATATAAGGCCAAAATTCAGTTCCTTGACTGACTCGGCAAAATCGGTCCGTCAGATAAGATCTCAATTCCAGACCCGATCGAAGGCCTCTTCTAAAATTTTGAATAATGCTATAAAAACTAAATGCGAGAAATTTTCACAAAATTCAAGAATCCATGCAGTACACAGCAGACTCGACCTAGCATCCTTATTTCATTACTGGTTTCCATCTATTTCCACATTTTTCAATAGAAAAAATCCATCATATCGTGAAAAATTGTGAAAAAGTTCCAGCCATACAAAGAAGTGGTAGAACGGAGGAACTGGGGCAACTGAGGAGAAATGGTAATGACAGTGGATATAAATGAGCAATATTTTGAATATCCAGTTTCTCGTATTGTTTGGTTGTTTGATTTGAATATAGCTAGGCGTCTAATTTAACTTCCATGACCATTCATTAGTTTATATGTTGGCATGCATTTCGGGGCTCATCAGACTTTTTGAAATTCCAACTTTACTATACTACTACATACAAAAGTTAATTTTGAACTCCAGAAAGGTCTAGCTCTGGAGTCCCTAACCCTTAGCCAGAAAAATCTTAAATATCACCTTTATGCCATAGTATTTTTTTAAACTGTTATTTATGTTGAACAACACATTGAGTTAAAATTTATGATTTCAGAAATTTCTCTTTAGACGAATTTAAATTTCAAACAGAGCTTTAAAAAGTTAATCTCCAAGTCAGATAGTTTCTCAACAAATCTACAATCGTTTATCAAGTTTTCGTCAGTGTTCAAAGGTTTGCAACATTCCTACAATTAGAAATAACGTCGGTTATAAATCGACAATTTATTTTCTCTGCAGTATTTTGAGTACGGTTTACTGATTTTTATAAGCTCAAATCTGCATGTACACATGTAAAGAATTGATCCTATCACATCTCTCACAGTTCAGCGACAATCCCATGTTTTGCAAGTTCAATAAATTACCGACAGTCCTCTATAATCACCCACCCAGGGTGTTGGAGTCAGGGGTCAAACCTCGGTCTGATCCGCTCATGCAGTGAGGTTGGCCTCCAGGGGCTATCACAGCGAGGCCTTTTATGCCCCCAGCTCAATCAGCCTCCAAATCCAAACCTAATTATACTAGCTCACTCTTAAATATATTATTTTCTATTTACACGCTATTACTCAGCGTGATGGAATACTCGATATTCACACATATTTTATAATGAATCTGGGTCGACGGGGTACTTACTATTCCGTCATCGGCGGTCCCATACTAAAAAGTCTAGCTAATAACTTATTCAGTTTCAATACTCACAAAGAAACAGAAGACGAGATCGAAGTCACGATAGCTCAAGTGGTAGAAGAGCGGCGTATTTAGCCGAAGGTGTGGGTTCAAATCCCGCTCGTGACACTGGCCTTACATAAAAAGAATAATTAATTGAAAGAATTAACTTGGTTAATGGACTACTAAAACATAAATGGGTTATACATACAATAAAACAGTCCAATTTCCTGCAAAACTCGGAAGAGTGAACAACCCAAATTATCGCTGCCGTGCTCAAGCACACTTCTCATATCTGCTGGCATTCCTAAACGCACTTTATATGGATAAAGTAAGTGTCCATGTGCCAACCTTGCATGTGCTATACCTAATCGGGTGAGCATGATCCGTTTTCTACGTGTCAGATCCTCCGAGGACCACCTATCATCTTATTACGTATTATCATCTACGTGAGAGTTTCTCTCCGGCCTACAGACACTGCCACTTTATAAAATAATATTTATAAAACTTATTTAGCTGCAGTAGTTAAATCGGGAGGTTGGGAGTCCCTAGTCCGCCTTTTCGTTACCCTCCAGACGCATGTGTCCGGCCAACATCTACCGTTTTGCCGAGACACTCCAGTCCATGGTTTCTTGACAATAAAACCTACGACGGAGAACCTGTCACGGACAACAGTAACAGCGCTGAGGGAGACGGTGCAGATTATGTAGCTGACAACCACGAAGTTGATGCACCCTCGCCGTCTGTAGAAACGAACAGAAAACCGAAGTACCTCGATCTAAGTACAAAGAACTTGGCTCGATAAATGTGTAATGGAGTAGTCGTCCCGGACAAGTACTGCTGGAAAGACTCGGGGGATGTAAAGTTATATATATATCTTATAATATATAAAATATATAGTTTTATAATTGTGATGGATTTACTCTATTGGGCGTGACGATGACAACATAAATAGAATTGAAAACTTAGCTAAAACCCGACTCTAGGTTTGCTCAGTAAAAAACAAAACAGTAAATAAATAAATTCAAACCTCACCTCACAACAATTTATAATTTAACAAATTTACATTTAGAACTAGGAATGCTATTCATAAAATTTCAAATATGTTTTTTAGATTTCAAATAAAGTTGGGTAATGAATAGTAGTAAAAATTATTATTGCAATCGTAAAAGATTTTTGTTTCTTCTCTATCTTTTTTACTTTATTCGATGTTGGTACATTATCAGAAGATAATAAAACTTTAATATTCTAATTTTATGAAGTTTAACCGGACGAGATCGGTCGAGCTTTAAACCGTTTTCCATTGATAAATATTTGCAGAGATAAAACTCTTACTTCTCAAAGGTTTTCCACTTTTAAAAGTAATAAAGTTATCTTCAATCAAGTAGCTTTGCTTTTTGATTTTTTTCCTTTTGTTCGATCGAAATGTTTCAAACAGTTTAACTAATTTTTACAATTTAAATGTTTGCGATTTATTTTTGTAAAATGTATAAAAAACTTTTGTTTATAAGTATTATTTCTTTTTTAGGATATGCTATCGGTAGTGGTTTTCATCCTGATCGGCACCTGCCAAGGGCTCCCGTGCAAATTCAACCCGATGTGTTCCTGCAAAATGGGCCCGACTTCCCAATACGAGAACAAGACGACCATCACTGACATCTCATGCGCTGGCGTGCCGTTTTCCAGGCTTCCCGGTGAGTCGAGCTGTTGAACCGGATGAAAATCGCTGGCTGGATTTGTCTCCTTTCATCTCCCGTTTCCTGTTCATGCGTGAAGGCGATCCCCATAGCGAAAAACGCCGTTCCGACCGGGTTGCAATTAGGCCGACTGTGAAAGTTTGATATTGCCCTTATCTCTGTTTTTTCCGGCCAGTTTTCTGGTCAGAGGCGTGTTTTGCTGAGCGTAAAAACGGACAAAGGGGAAATCGGGGCGAAATCAGTTTTTTTGTTATGATATTCACACATACTTTGTCGCTTACGAATAAAGCTTAGACTTCAAAATAAATTCGCGTACCATTCAGTTAAAGTTAATCGTTTGTATTCAATTCAATCTGCACCTATCAGATGGGATATTGTATATATGATACAATTTATAATTTTTTTCTTACGTATGTACTCGGCATTTAAATACAAACTCTGAAGATAAAGTAAATGAATATTGATTGAATTGGAAAATTTGAATAAAGCGTACATGTAGAGATGAATTTCAGACGCGCATTTATATTGTAAATAAAATAGTTTATTATTTTACGTAATGCAAATTGTAATAAATAGGTTTCATTATTGTATTATATCACACAAGTTTGCAAAATTTTTTCCAACTTTATTATTACTTTCGAATTCCAAACATAGGGAAGTCTTAATTTCATGCGGGAAGCCGAAAAATTTTTTATCCTCAAGAATCAAAATTTCAACTCGCATTTTGCGTCTCATACCTCTCTGAACAAATTTGGTTCCGTGTCTGTCTGTGGCAATTTCTTGTAACTGGTAAAACTCCAAATCCATGAAACTAATTTTGATAAAAATTTTGGAAGTAACACGGGCTGGTTTTTGGATGTTGCCCTATGAATTTCATCAAATCAGACAATAGCAGCGCCTTCACATACGCAGACGTAAAATCCGATACTCGGCTGAATTTTCGAAACCACTGGTCGGATTCTTATGAAATTTACAGAGATTAGGCAGCTTGCTTGGTAGATTATCGCATACGAATTTAATTCCAAACGGATCCTCATGCGCGTGCACAAAAAGCAAGGAAGCTATACTGCCCACGGACTTGGTTGACTTTTTAATTTTTAAATTTTAACTATTTTTTACAGTTTTAAAGGTTTCTATAATATAAGGCTTTAAAACATAAAATATACAGTGACATACGGTCGCTTACTTTTGAGCCAAAGCCCGCGTATGTACCCGGCTTGCAGAAAAAGGGTGCTCAACGTGTCCTCACATAACTGACAAATATTCCTTGGATGTGTCACTCCCTCATCATAGGGAGCTGGAAAGCCTGCCAAATTAAGAATTGTGTTCGAGGGTTTTCTATTCTGATTGTTGAAGGAAACTTAGAAAATTCTGTATATATAGATTCTTTGTTTTTTTGCAGGTAAATCTTATTGTTGTATATATAGTATGTTTAGTGATAGATGTTTCGTAAAAATTTATTTATATGCTTGAATTTAGAGTAGTATAAGAGTGGCGATGGTAAATTGCCAAGTCCCCCATCAACCTTACATCAGACTATGTACTGTGAGTTGTCAATATGTGCTCAAGGGTGATGGAGGAATATCTAGTACTCCATTACCTTACTTGAGTGAATGGTGTGTAAATAAGAGGAAAATTATTTAAGAATCAGTGATAGTGCGAGTGTGTTAGGTCGAAACCGCATGCGTTTGGGGTGAAAATGACCTTCAACGGTCGTACACACTAGGTCTGACCCCCAGTCCATGAAAACACCGAAGTGGGTTATTCTCGCCGCTTGCCACTTTTCGTAGGCTCGGTTCTGCTCCTATAAGTGCACATACGGGCAGAATTGAGACTATATAAATTAAAAACAAAAAATATCAGAATAACAAATACAAACTCACATAAAATCATAAACTGTAAAAAACACGATAGTCTGTTTAGCATTGAGATAAGCCCCTTATATCACGCTAATGCATACATTCTTTTCATGAATAACACATATCACAATAGGTACAACTGTTACGGTCGAAACTTCGGCCGACAACAGTTGGTCCCGTCGCTCGGTGGAGAAGGGGGTGGGTGAAGGAGAGAGGTAGGGAATTGTTGAGCGCCACGGTATTTTTGGGGAGGGTAAATACCGAAACCCTAAGAGAAGAAAAGAAATAGACGTAAAGGAAGGAATAAGAGAAAAAAATGAAACCAAAGGGAAAAAAAACTAACGGAGTTTGGAATTGAACCCACAACTTTCGAGACCCAAGTCGGCGATCGTAACCACCAAAGGCGCCGACTGAGCCTCGCCGCATCCAGCCGGCTCACCGCCTTGCGTCAGGGATCGCCACGAAACCCGGGGCCCAAATCCATCCTCCGGACAGATAGAGATAGAGATAGAGAAAGATAATTAACAATAACATTAATCGCCGGTGTCTTACCTGTGCCTCCCACAACGGGTGAAGTGAACAAAAAAAAAAAAAAAAAAAAAAAAAAANAAAACTAGACCATTTGGCCTCCGCCAAATAAAAGGTTTACAACAAACATCAAAAGACCGCTTGACTTTATACTATATTAAACTAAAAACTCTTACATCGGAAATAATCTTATAAATAAATGACAATTAAACTACTTAGCAACTAAATCTCAACTCTATAACCTAAAATGTCTCACTACTTAATAAAACAAAAACCTTAAACCTAGCGTAACAATTTTGTCTTATAACTAAACTTAATCTAACAAGAGGTATTAATCAAATTAAAAAAAAGTCAATCGGCCGTTTCGGCGAACTCACGTCGGGGCCCTGGCGCAGCGTGGTCCTCATCCGGGAGCAGCCTCAGTCGGGGGAAAATGATCCGTCCTCGTAGCACCACAAATCCTCTTCCGAGTTCTCTTCCCCATCACTCTGACCAGGGGAAGATGCCAGGTTAATGAAGACGAACAATCCGCAGCAGCATGATTTCCCCTTTTCTTTGGCCGCTCGTCCCTCGCACGGCGGACACGTCTCTCCGGGCCGAGGACCCTTAACCTTCTGCTCTCGGTCGCGCTCTCGGTCGCGCTCCAGGCCTCGACGCCCACGCTCGTGCTGCCGTCTGACGCTCTCATCTTCCACGCCAAATTCAATTTTACTCAACTTAAAATTAACATTTTTTTTACCCGCACGCAGGCACAGGCAAGACACAAGAAAATCCATTTTTTTCGTAAAAAAAACGAAATACAACATTTTGTATATAGGTAAAAATATTTATGGCCAGGAGAATTTGATCAGCGACCTGCTGCCGTGCCCAAGGCTGCGTATAAGGCCATTTAGGATGTCGTATTTTTAAAGACTTCGTTTTATGCCGTCGGTTGTTAGGTATTCTATCCAGGTGATTTCTCCTCAGAACTCGTACCTTTAACTTTCAGTAGAAGGTGTCCGTGTGTTATCTTGGGATAACCTATGCGCAACCTGTTAAGTATGAATGAGGCTCAGGCCAGGGATGAATTTTTTAATTTGAATAATAAATAATGTATCCTTTTCGGCTCAGCGGATTCTCCATTCATTTTTTATTTATGGCTACCATTATTTTAATATCCGCTGGACGCACAGCGAAGGTGGGCACGTGTGGCTTCATCGTGGCAAACTTTGCTGCCTTAGCTGTTTGTGAGTTCCCGGTTTTGCCAATGCCTTGTTTTACCATTGGCAACGAAAACTTTCAGTTTTTCGTAAATGTTTATGGCTGATGTGTCTACGGCTAATCTCGTGAAATAGTGCTCCTGCTCAGCCATAAACTCCAGATACCATGATGGCATTATTTCCGATACAATAACTTTTCAAATTCATTTAAATCAATTGTTTGGTCCCACTAGTACAAGTAGATAGTAGTTTATCTTTTGGATGCTCACAACCTTGCTACTCCCATTCTACAGTTCAATTCTTTATAATCACGGATAGCAAGAGCTGGGTACAATTTTAGTGCTGTTATCCTGTCTGATCATCTAGTGATATATCCCACAATTAATAAGTACTTACTATATATATAAACTTTCAGCATTACATTTTAATTTGTAAAATTTTCGAATTTTCTAATTACATCATACATACCTGATGATGAGTATTTAATACTCAAAATCCGAATAGCTGCTTAAAATTTCTGTGGGTGGAACTATCTTTTCTAAAAATCCTCATGGGAAATTCTAAGTTACAACGTAATACTTCTTAAAAAAACAATGCATAAAATGGTTGCTAATTTAAGTTATCTTATAATAAAATATTTAAACAATATGTATTTACCACGTGACGATTCTGTAATTTATAACTTTTTATGGAACATGAAACCAAATTTTTATGAAAGTCTTTTCTTGAATAATGAGCAAGAACTGTACTTATTCCGACGAGGTATTACTGTTAGGAACGTATTTTCGTCTTTAAACCTGAACCTAGCGGTCGTTTCTTATCATCGCGTTGTGCCTTCGAGGGAGAAAAACCCTTGTCGTTAAGAATGGGTTTTCTTCTATCGGAATTATGTGCTAACCTCAGGCGAATTTAGATTGATGGTTTGAAAATGGATGTTGATGATTGTACAAAGAAATATATTAAAAATGTAAAGAGAGTTAACAAATCTATATCGGAGTAAATAGGACGTAAATAACAGCTTACTTTATTCATGCAAAACTAAGCTTTATAATAAAATAGTTCATGCAAGGTTACAAAAAATCCTTGTGCGTTTTATTCATGCTTATTAAAACATATATTCTGACAGATATTACTAATATAGGTAATTCATATTATTAATTTTGAAGATTATCAAATTCAAAAAGTAAAAATAAACCTAGCGATGATCCAAAACCATGCACTACTCGTTACTTTTATCATTAATTCAATTGCTCTCTAGTACAACAGATTTTTTTTCATCAGAAATGAATATGTACAACTAACATTTACTTTTTATTTGCTGTTTAACGTTTTATCGTGCTCAAGTAGTACCTAGCAGGAAGGAGGGAGGTCGGGGTGACCGTAAAATTGAGTAGAAATTCATTTTTATTGC